GGCTCGCCTGTAGCTGTGCTTTGTCCACGTGAAGGTCCTTCTATACGCTCATCCGTCACTTCTGCAAATCACTAGTGACTAGTCTATATCGCCTACTTGGGCCACTGCAATGCACACTACCTCTGGATTGAAAAAGACGCGTTTCTGCCAGGGCCGGCAAGGGTCTAGGGTGTAGGGTCAAGACCTAACGAGATGGCGTTGTAACAGGCAGAAACGGCGAAGGCACCAAGAGAGACACGTGCGATGCCGGGCCACATGCCAGAGGCGAAGGGGAGGTTTGCTTTTTCTGCAGTGCTGCAGTCACCATTGTCTGCGTCAAGTCGCACTGAGCGGCCCGGATCCACCGAGGCATCAGATAGCGTCCTTTTTGGATTGGACATATTGGACCATTAAAGATCTTGCAGTGGACACTCCTGCATCATCCTCACCCAAGCTGGGGAAGTCATGCCAGATAAAGCTTACTCGCACATATGCGCGACTTGCAGCAACTGCAGTTGCAACATCATCCGCGGGCAGTGCCCTGTTGACTTTGTGAACTCCGAGGCAAGCGTTTTTCGACGCAGGCTTCATCAGGGATTTCCTTAAGCACGCAAACAAGCCTAGAATCCTAGAAGGCGGCCGTGGAGACCCTGTGCGTTTGACAGAAACGAAACGTCGTGGACACCGCCTGGCAACAGCCAAGCATGAGACTCTGCCAACGCAAAGCTTGCCCGGAGGCAGAATCACGTGGGCATGCACCACACTTGAGTTCCACAGCAGAATGGCCTGCGGCTGGGGTTTGGCAAATCTGCCTGCAAAGCGTAGAGGAATATTTATTGAAATCTTATACGAGAAGCTGCATGCCGAGCTGTCCACTTGTCCCACATAAGTAAGAAAGGTCCTGAGAGCTGTAAAGTGCAAGCCAAGTACGTGCTCTCTGTGGCTTCATGCACGCGAAAAACGAATATGCCCCCGGTCGTGCTGCAGCGCCGAGACAGCGGCAGGTCTGTGCACCACTGAAAGATCTTACAGCTGGATATGGGCAAACTGTAGTTGTCCCAAAGGTTTTAGGAAATCTTACGAAAACATCTGCGTAAAGGCCAAGATCTGCGGACAAGGACGCCCGCGGAGCGTGATCGGCGGGCCCGGCGGGCTCCACACTTTTGACACACGGAACGGCAATGTCCCGAACACTGCTCTGCGAAAGCCAAAAACACTGCAAAGACTCTCGAATGACAGCCTTCCTCTGAATCATGGACCGGTTGTGTCAAGCTGGACCGAGCTGAACTGAGCCGTGCAACATGTATGCCTCTGCTGGCTCGGAGTGTAGGCGACAGGTACGAGCTCAAGGCTTCAGGCGACACGCAGGGCATACAAGGAGGCTACGCGGCTACGCTGGACAGGCTTCCGCCTACCCTTCTAGTGCCCTGTCTGCCAGTCCTCAAGTCCAAGAACCATGCTGCCAAGGCAGCGAGGGCCCTTGGCAGCGAGGACATGCCACGCCAAAACGACTCCTGACACCCTGCGCAATTCTCCCTAAGAACACCTTCGCGCATCTCTTGGTGAAGCGAAGTGATGAGCTCAATCGGTTGGCATCAAATTCGGAGAGCTTGTGCCTCTTCCCAGCGGTTCGAGCTTTCCAATCATGCTGGAGCCAAAGCTCGTGTGGCAATGCATGGAGCTTGGCAGGAGAGCACTAAGAGGTCCCAGAGGCGATCCAACCATGCAGGGCGCATGTGAGAGCCTGTCCGGGCAGGATTCATAGGGACATCACAACTTGCAGCTCGCTTCACTCAGTTTGCTGGTTTCGCAGAGCCAGGTATGCGTGGCTGAGCAACTTCTCGCTGGAGAGCATGTCGCAAGACCCAGAGATTTTGAAATTCATTGAAAGTTTGCAAGCTACAATCACCTAAGATGACAGGAGAGGGTTGGGAGCGAGAATCCGAATCCCTTGATATGTGAAGGGCATGCTCGGACAAGTTTTGGAAACCTGCACCGCATGGTTCGAACCAAGTGAAATCGCTCTGGAAATCCCTGAAACCTTAGCAATCGTTCGTAAAATTGGGGTCCTGCACAGCAAAAACCTGTCCACCGCGGCTGAGATCAGTGCCACAGGCTCCGAGACCCAATCCAGGCTGAGTTGAAGGGTCACAAGACGCAACCGACTCCAAAGGCTTCGAACACCTGTTTGCCACTAAGTTTGCCACTGAATTCTTGTTGCATTCTTTGCCTGGCCCCAACGTAGCAAACTGACCATGCGGGCAGCGGCCAGTAGTGAGTCTTCTTACAATCCGTCTCGCTCAGCACGCTGCAGGGGTTTTGGCAACAGACTCCTGGGCTGAAAGCAACGGGCGAACTTAAATGCGCAGCATTGCGCATCGTGCATCGACGGGATGTCGCCTTCTCCCTGCTAAGCCGAGCTCTGCCCAGGCCGGTCACTCCGGCAAACCGGGTCGCAAGGGCACGGCTGCATGACAAAGCGCGATGTCTCGCTCTCCCTTTGTGCCTGCATGAGTACTATGCAAGTGCCTAACGCCGAATTTCTGCATTTCGCGCGTGACCACGAGGAAACGGCCGATATTCCAATTTTTTAAGCGGGCGTCAAGCCCCAGATCGCGACTGATGTGGGCTGTGCTTGAAGCGAGTGCCACACCCGCAACAGCCTCCCTAAGCCTGAAACGCGAGTAATGGATAACAGAACACATCATCCGGATGTTTCAGGAGGATGTGGGGTCCTGCTCGCGCCGTGCTGTGGATCCTGTACAAAAGCCGAAAAAGCTTCCGCTTGCAGAAGCAAGCTCAAAAGCTGCAGAGCGTGCTCGATTCAACACCGATGCGACTTCTGCTTCAAGTGCAGGTCCGCATGCAGCAGCTTCGAGCACATCCCAACTTGCAAGCACGGCTCAACCCTGTCTCGGCCCCTGGCATGTCCCACGGGCACGGCGCAGGATGCTAGCATGCTTCTGACGGCAGAAGCTGGGCACGTTTTGATTCCATCCAGGTGTTGCATTACTCGCTCCATTTCAGGTCTCCGAAGTCAGAGATCAGCTCAAGTCATGTGGCCAAACATCGTTTCACTGCAGCCTCGTGGCCTGGAATCGTTTCGGCACGCCTCAATAAGCTTCACTACTCCCAGCTACACTAACCTTTGGAATGCCATGATTCGAACATGACATGCTGTCGAAAATCACAGAAGCCTTGAAAACCCTCATCTAATCTCATCTATTTGGAAGCAGCTTCGTTTGTGTACGGGTCAAAACCGGCCAGGCTGAAGTGCTGCGTGCGTCCGGTACCTCCGTCAAACGCCACACCAGTGGATCATCGAATTGGAATGTCCAGGCCAATAGGCAAGCAAGCCTGCGCCGAAGAACGGCGCAAAGCACCTGCGTATGTGAGCCCGCTACGAGGCCTGCTTGTGGGTGAATGCCTCCGACGGCTGCATCATCCAGCCCTCTGCTTACGACTTCGCCGCGTCTACAACTCTACACAACTCTACAACTTGAGCAAACGGCTTCGGAGCGAGGCTTCGTGACATCTTCGTTCACTGCCGAAGTCAATGCCAGTGGTTACCAGTGCTTCTTGGTTGTGGTCGCAAGCTGTCCCCTGCCTCAACGATCCAGCCCTGTGACCCACATCCTGGCTTGTTTTGGCATGGTTTTTTCCTTCCAGCGAACGGGAACTGGATTTAGAACGGGTGTATCATCAATCTCCTTAGTGCAAAACCTTCCTTCCCGTTTTGTGGGCAGCTTTGTGTTGCCAAAGCTTCGTGCTGTCAGTGCGAGGGGGATTGCACGTCCTTCCAAAGAACGGCTAGGGCTGTGGATGCACTTGCATTCACAACGTAACATGCACGAACAAGCTGTAAACTCGCTCTCAATTCTAAGCAGCTCCTAGCTGTCTCAGCTGGGCAGTGATAGCTGCAAGTTGAGCTCAGTATGTACTGAATGCAAAAGTCCAATGACAAGAAGCGAGAAGCTTCATGGAAATCCTACATCTTTGCAAGCGCTTGCATGCCCTAAGATGCGACAGAAGCAATATGGTAGGTGGTCCAGAAGAGCCAGGCATCTCAATACCCCTTCAAGACCTTAACCCTATATGAGTTAGGGGACTGTGAAGATCACGAAGATCACGAAACGGATAGATTCTGGTAGACCCCGCTGGAAAAAGCGCAGTATTGACTTGAAAGCAGCACGGATAAGATCCACGACTGAACCACATGCACGACAGCATTGTCAGCAGCGTTCATATGGCTTTAGACGAGCTACACGGGCATCTGCTGCTGTCCAGCTGCAGTGTTCGCTGGCTGCTGTTGAGGATGTGTGCAAACTCGTCTCTATTGTACCGTGTCAACCCGAAACATTCTCAAAAATTGGGGGGGGGGGGGGGGTTGCCTAACGAAGGCTCCGGTCGTTCCGGCGGCAACGTCTCGAAAGGGCTCTTGAACGTTCGCTTCTGGGGTTGAACAAACAAGGAGCTTGAACTCTCACATATGCTTGTCTGCCTGTGCAATGAACTCAAGGCGGTGAACTAGTGCTTCTTGTTTTGCACAGGGTTTTCACGAAAGACAAAGCAGTCTCTAAAGATTGAATCATGCCGGGGCAAAGTGTTTTCGGATCGGAAGGCTCAAGCCCTGAGCCAGATCTTTTTGCGGGTGTTGACCTCGTATTTTCAGAAATTCTAATTACCAGAAAATGATATGACTGCTGATTCCAGCCCCTACATACCACAGATGCAACGTATTTGAACAAGCCTTAAGACTCTGGAAATGATGACCGTCTCTTCTGCAGGGAAGGCGTTTCAAGGCATTTCTCTGCTGTGCTGAAAATGGCAGGCTTTGAGAGAACACGGCAGCATGGCTAGCTGTACTTGCGAGACTGCTTTTGCAGCCGCATCAATCACCAGTGTGCTGAAAACTGCTGGTGCAGCCTGCGAAAAGAAGATGAAGGACAACCAACAGCAACAGTACTTCATGTCTACGCTATCTGTCAACTCTTTACAACATATATGGGAGGCCACTCTAATTAAGGCACAAGGACGGGTTGCGAGGTTGTCACAAGACCACGGCTTTCGCAGTGGTCTAGGAAACATGACCAAGCAGTTACGCGCCTGAGCGTCTCAGGTGCTCCAAGCACGCACATGCCTCAAGCGGACAGCACTGCAAGCGAAGTGGATGTCCCTGCTCACATGCAACATGCGACTCCAAGGAACATAGCGGCATGATGGGGCACATGTACCGAATTTCTTTCTCGCACCTTTTACGTTCATCTGTTTAGCAGACATCTGCCACAGAGCTGCTGATCCTGCTTGACTGCACACTACGATGACAGCAATCATGCACATTGACTTCTTGCAGGCCTAGACGTGCTCTCGTAAGGGCCACATCCAGCAAGTGCTCGTCCTGCACACCGTTCAACGCGTAAATGAAAGCGCCTTAAAGGCTACTTGAAGGACACCTCGCCATTCGCCGCTGCTTCTTATCACCGCAAGCGCACTTCATGCCTCCAAAGCACCGAGACCACCAGGGGAGCTGCGCACTGTTGACAACAAAACGTAGTCCCACTCCTGAAGTGAATACTGTTGCAAGGTGTTGCAAGGCAGCTTTGCACCAGTCCGCTACAAGTACACTCTTAATGCATGCTTCTGGGAGAATGCAGACACGCTGTCTTTTTGTGTCGCGCTGTCTAAGAAGCAATGCCGGTCAGAAACAAACAGACTGAACAAAGAGCGACTCTGCGGGTTCGGTCCGAGACCTGACTGGAAACAGAATGCTGGACGTGAACCACCAAGATTTCAGGCGGACGCTTGACCCACAAGGGATAACCCGGGGCCTTCATTCTTCAAGCAGACGCCAGCAGATCGGAAAAACTCGTGTCGGGTGGATATGTGTGAGTGCAAAGAGTGCTCGGAAATGCCAAGCAAACTTGGGTCATATCATAGCCCCGACCAAGACCATCCGCAAGGTCATTCCGGAATTGCGGGATATGGTCGATGTGGACGGAGATAAATTGGCGCTCTTGGAGTAGGAAGATGAACACAGGAACGGCTAGCGAAAAACCTTTACCAGACGAGGCATCGGAGGCTAAGTTGCTGCACAACATGAACTGGCAAATGCCCAGGCAACAATAGACAAGACAGCGGGCGCACGAGCGCGCACTGTGCGAGCAACTCGGAAATGAAGTGCACGGGTGACTCATCGGCTGGAAACCAGGGGAAACATGGCACGAGGGAAACATGGTATGAAACTCTGCCTGGGAGAAGGTGTTCTGGAAGCGCAGACCCAGGGCAGCAACGAGCGGAAGTCGCTGCCGGATCGACAACTTCTGGGTCCAGATGACCTCCTGAGAGCTTTCAGAAAGCAGGCGATCTGGGCAAGTCTGGTCGGAGATTTGGACCCACAAACCCCGTGAAGATTTGGGCAATGCAGGCAAATCAGCAGTCGAGCCGAACTGACTTCTGCTTCACCAACCCGGAAACACGTGCACCCCAAGGAGCAGACGCAAGGCCGGATGGAGCACAGACCGTGAGGTCCGGAGCGAGGGACTCTTTTGAGTCTGTGCCATGCTTGAGCACAAACAGCAACATGGACCACCGGGGGGCGGCATTGGTCTGAGTAGGAGAAGTGGCGGGCATTATATACGACAGCAATAGTTCAAGCAGGCGGCTCAAAGCTTGTCGGGGTCCAAACGGACAAGTCAAACGGCCTGGCCTTGCGTCAACTCCTGCTAAGCGTGCAGTAGCGCGACAAGAAGGGAAGCTATAGCAGGGGTGTGCTGCGGGCGCATTTTGGCGCGGCGACGCAGGGTTAGAGGCCGAGGTGCGTTGCAGAGTTGGCCGCCTGGCGGGCCAGCCTGAGCTTGGCACTCAGGCAGAACGGGACCGTCTCAGGAGCAGCTTTGCTCAAGCAGCTGCTGAAGCAGCTGCAGGAGGAAATGGCGGCAACACACATGCTGGGCAGGACTGGCAACTGCCAAAGCTGCCTCGCCTGTCCCTCCTGTGCCTCCGGTTCTAGTCCTCCCCTGCAGGTTAGTTGTCGTGGCGGAGCGCACCACGGCCGGTGTTCGGGACTCAAAGTTCAGCATCTCGAGTTGGTTGGGCAGATAGCCGGGTCGGCACTGGCCTGGGGAAGGACAGCAAAGCGCATGTACGTCACCGTCGGAGTCTTCATCGGCCCCGTTGGGCACGGGGCCGGAGGAATTACTCATCAATGGTGCGCCGAGCATGCACGAGTTCAGCACGGCGGACGGAGGCCATGATCCTGGCAACAGCGGAGTCGAAACGGCAGCGGCAACAGCGGCCGCGGCTGCAGCGTCAGAGTCGCGGACAGCAGGCACAGCACAAAGCAAAGCACATCATGGAATGCACGCGGTACAAAACCAAGTACGCCACAAATGAAGCGTCAACCTGCGAGAGTTCAAGAGAACTCTCCAGCTCAGAAGCTGCAGCGGCAGAGACGTAGCATGCGAAGGGAGAACCTGACAGATGTCTCTGGATCCGGAACCCAAACTCGACGGTGAGTCAGGGCCCAGAGGTGGACGGCACCGGACAGGCTGGAAGTAGTAAGACACCAGCGAGAAAGCAAGTCATGGCTCTGAAAGAAGGATGCTGCAAGAACAGTCCAAAGAAAGCCAAATTGAGGCACACAAACTTAAATATCTCAAGAATGTAACGGGCAAGTCAGAAGCAGCACCCTCAACATGCGAGGCAGTGGGTCCGGCCGGACTGGCGGCGCAGAAGGTGCATGCTATGCAGTTGCGTGCCAAGCTGGAAACATACGTGTACAAGTACAACCGCATTGGGGGGAGAAAGGCTGCAACCTACTGTAAGATCTTGTTGGAAGCTCGCGTCTGATTGCGCATCCATGTTAGTAAGTGGGAGATCTGGCCAAGGCTCATTGCCTTGGGATGATACAACGCCACCAATGTGAATGGAAGTCCCGGAAAGTGCTTCGCTCAATTGAGCCACCTTTCTCAAGAGAACCATGGATGGAAGTGGCTCCGACGTGACTCTCGCAAACATTCGCAAACCACTGCATGTAGGGCTTTGTTCAGCAAGAGCTCATGAACGGCTAAAACTAGCAGGGCTGTTACCCGAGTTGGGCCTGGGCATTGTACCAGGTGAGCACAGCTACCTCAGCCATGTGTTTAGTCATGTGCATCACGTGCCCGCCTTGCATTCTTGCACGCACTGTGCAGATCTGTACAGTGATGTTCAGAGTACATACATTGCAGCGATACACAACACTTCAGATTGATCCTGGATACAGAACAACATAGCAAATGCTGAAAAACAGATTCGCTTCCGCTTCTTATCTGCCTGAAGGTTGCCTTGCTTCACTTCTGCATGCGTGAGAACTACTCTCGCAAGGAGCACGTCTGCTATCTCCTCTCAGTGCTTTCAAAAGCGCACATTTTCGCTTCAGGATTTCGCTAGGCACAGGTTACATCATCACATATCGCCACAGAAGCTCGCATCTTTTTCTTGAGGCCGCTTGCCTCGGCGGCGCTCCTCCCACCAGCAGCTGCGAATCGATTTCTCTTGAGTTTGCGGGGCGCCACTACTGGCACGAGTGGCAGGACATAGCCCCCCCCGGAGCTCCGTGAAAGGGACCTCCCCAAGTACGCGGAAGACAGTTGTTCGTGCCCGCCTCAACTCACGGGCTGCGTCGAAAATCCGAAAAGCCGTCCGTTCTCGCACAACTTCAAAAAAACATCGCAACTTAGAAGATGTTCGCCTTTTCGCGTCCGCACGCCAAAGAAAAACACGTACATTCTGGCAACGGAATAGCAGATACTGCAGGTGAAGAAATGGCAGCAAGAGAGGCAAAAGAGGATCTGAAGGATGGGGGTAGCTGTGGCTCAAGCCATACTCAGGCGAATGCCCTTACTCTTTGCAGCCACATGAACTCTCTCTTGACTCTTAACGGCAAGCACGGTGCACGGCTCTGACCGACTTTGGCCGCCAGCGAGCGGGCCAAGGCCGCAGCGCGAACAGCCTGCAGGGAAGGATGCGCCAAACAAAAATGGCCAAAAATGGCCAATAGGTAAATTAGGTAGCAAAATAGCAAAGCATAGCAAAGCATAGCAAAGCATAGCAAAGCATAGCAAAGCATAGCAAAGCATAGCAAAGCATAGCAAAGCATAGCAAAGCATAGCAAAGCATAGCAAAGCATAGCAAAGCATAGCAAAGCATAGCAAAGCATAGCAAAGCATAGCAAAGCATAGCAAAGCATAGCAAAGCATAGCAAAGCACAGTTTTGAATGGTTTGGGAGCAGGGTGTGCAAGTAAATTCACGGGCAAGCAGGAACTTGGCCCAGTAGTCTAGAAAAGTTCTCACGTGGCTTGGCGTGCAAGAAACTTCTGCGAGCAAGGGCAAGCAATCGCAAGCATGCATGCAAGCATGCAAGATAGCCTGCTTTGCCCAGTGGCTTCAGAACCTTCTTCAGGCCCTCCCTCTGACAACAAAGGGTTGGCTACGTGCCTGCATCAATGTTATGTCCTAACACGGGTATTCTCCTGCCTCTCTTGTGCACCATTGAATTCCGTGGCCCCTCCCATACAAAAACTACAGGAAAGCACGGTTTAGAATCGCTTGGAAGCAGAGTCTGCAAAAATACGATGGGCAAGCCGGCACTTGGCGAGCGGTCTAAACAAGCTCTCCAGTGGCTCAGTGTGCAAGAAACCTTTTGACTCTGCTTCTAGCTATTAAGAGCTTTTTGCATTTACAGGAGCAGATTTAACATCAGTCTGCCAGAAACACATCAACTCAGTGTGGATGCTCCAGCTGTATGTCTCCCAAAAATTTCTGGGTGCCTCTTAGAGACTTAGCGTTAGCGGAACTCAAATGAAAACCACTCTGAAAGGCCCGAAAACGCCCTGGCTCAGCCTCTGCCAGATTGAACCGGGATTTGGCGCTGGCAGTTGAGCTTCGAACTTGCGAAATCCTGTCAACAACCCCCAAAGAGGAACTCAACGTACAGATGTCGAACTCATCGGCTCTTCCTCTTGTGTTCAACAAATGGCATCATTTCTGGCTCAAGGCACTGCTCCGAAGGTCCGGAACACGTCCAGAAGAGCAACGGTGTTGGACTAGTGGGCCTGAGTTCAACGAGCACAGCAGACGTTTGAACTACACTAACTACACAACTTCGATCAAACTCCGGATTGGCTTGTGTCATTGCATTGTCAGACCCTCCAGGAGCCACTCAAAGCGGCCGATCTGGGTGCGCCAAACATCCAGGCGGACGTGCGAGAACGGCTGGATCCTCATCTCTGGAACTGCATTCGATGCTCTTACGGCTACAATTACGAACTCAGGACAACTCTTGAACAACAACAGCTGGCTTGCAGCTAGAAATCTGTTCGGACACGTCCAGCATAGAAGTATGCCGCCGGAAATTCATTCAGCTCCTGCCCGCCGGGACGGTCCATTCCGAATCATGGCATGTCATTGCTCTTGCTTTCTACAACATCCGCTGTCCTGGTGCATTCGATACTGCAGAGACAAAAGCCTTAACGCCCAGTTTCTTCGTCATAACGCTTCACAAGCGCATCAGCAGTTCTCACGTCTGACAGGCTTCCTCGACTCTACTCAGGATGGTACCGAGGTCTGCCTGCCGGTGCGTCGCTCAAGCGCTCCTCAGTTGCACAGGGTACCAGCAGCACAAAAGGTGCGCAAAATTTCGGTTGCATATATTCTAGCACTGCTTGAAGGCACCTATGCTCCCAGGGCGTGTTCAAACACTGCCGGGATTCGAGCAGCGATATATTGAGCCCCATTCTTTCAGCTTGTGGGCTGATGATGATGGGCCGAAGCCTTGGATCATCGGGGTGCCGACTGCTTTCGGTTCCTGCTGCAACCGCCACATGCTGCAACCTCTAGAAAACATGCGAACGCTGGGTTGCCGAAGCAACGCCGAGCTTCTGTTTCGGATCACCCACCATCACAATCTTCTTGGCATTTTTTGCCTGGGAATAAGTTCGAGAACGAACGAGATGTTCAGAATCTGTGACAAAACAGGGAACTATTCTCACCTGCACGCTTTTTCACAGATAATTTCTCGGACTTCGTCCCCAAATCAGCTTTTCAGGCCGCATTATCCAGCGGAACGAAGCGTTAAATCGTCCAGGCTGCCAGCGTCAAGGGGCAAAGAGCTTCTGGTTCTGGGGCCTGTCCAGCCTCTGAACAGCCAATCACAAGGCTGCAATGTGATCCAGAAATCTGCTGGATTCATGCAGCATCATGCAGCGCCTCGTCCAACACAACCTGCAACAACTCGGGTGCTCCGGATGCCTCAGTACCCAATTCAAATAGCGGCACGAAGTCGCGGTGCAAAACTCGCCAGAACTTTCGAGCTCTGCAGCTGAGTCTGCAAACTCAGACAGCTTGCTATAGCTTGCTATATGTCTGCCTCGTGGATGACTGCAACTTGAGGACAATGTTCGGCTCACGCCCTGCCTGTAAAGCAGCTGCCAGTCCACCCCGTCGTGCCGAAATGCAGGTAGCGAAAACCTGCACGGAAAAGCTACGAACTACGAATTGCGATAGGCGACCGCACTAAGCTCGGGTTACTTGCCTGATCCTGGTTGGCACTTTGCCTGAAACATGCTCGAAATAGACTTCTTCCTGACCATCCCTGACCCCCTACACCGTGCCCTACACCCCCCGTACTACTTCCTTTGCAAAGCGAAAAATTGGCGAAGAAGCCAAGCGAACTTCATAGGACACATTTCTTCTTAGGTCCGGGGGCCACATCGGCACGGCGCAGCTCTGCAGCACGAGCGGCCGAAAGAGCCAAGTAGTATCTCAGGGCATCAGAGATGTGCTGCGGATTGTGATGGCGAGATCTGGCGAGTTCTGAGTCCCTTCCCTCACATCATATCCTTCCCTCTGCAGCCCTCCTTCCCGTTGGAAAGCATAAGTTGTGTTGAAACATCGACACCTCCATGCGGTTCGATATTGCTTAGCTTATCTTCGCTTCAAAACTGCTGCGAAAGTGCTCCGTACGAAGCTCGTCAAACATGGGGTTGTCCAGCCCCGCTTGCAACCTCAGGGTTAGGGGATTCGCTGCACAGGATTTTTGACTACCATCCTTGGTCCCCAACTGCTGGAACCCTGTCACGGCTGTACTACATGAACCCCATATCTTCCAAAATATTCCAAGCGTCATTCTGTCATAAGCTGCACTAACCTCCATGGACTCCAACGTCGGCTCTACACCTTCGGGGGGTCGGGACACTATCAGACGCTGTCGGAGAACGCTAGTGAAAAATCGAGAAGTTTGATGCTTGAGCGTGCAAGGCGCGTCAAGGCGCATCAAGGCGCATCAAGGCACCTGGCGCTTGGCCATGGCAACGCCAATGCAGGGCAAACGGACGCATGACCTGGCCCGAAAACATGAGAAACTCGACCCAGCATGCCTCTCCGAAAACAGATGGCCTCTGGTACTGCCTTGACTTTCCGCGGCTTCGCACTGGGGTGATCAATCCGCTTGGGTACCTCAAGGGCTAATCCCGGTTAATCACATCGGAGGAAAGGCGGTGTGGGTGTGGGTGTGGTCGTGGGCGTGGGCGTGGGTGTGGGTGCGGGTGCGGGCACGGGCGCGGGTGCGGGCGCGGGTGCAGGTGTGGGTGTGGTTGCGGGTGTACGTGGGATGGGCGTTTACTTTCCACAGGGGGACTGGAGCTGATATACTTATCCAGTCCAATGAAACTATGGTATATCAGTGGATGTGAGGTCTGATCAACCTCATGAACCTGCACAAACGTAGAAGATGATCAACCTGCAACTCTTTGAGGGCGTGCGTAGTTGCATTGTTCCTTCTCTGTTCTTCTTCTTTTCAGGAATTGTGCAGGCGGTCAAGAATCCTGTTCAAGATCCTTTGCCTTTGAAGTTGAGATCGAAATGGCCCTGATCGGCCCAGCATTTTCTACGGACCCTGAGCGGTCCAGGCCCTGATGTTGGCCCCTATTGGCCACTCGAAGCAACACAACCAAGATTCCCGTCTACCAAGTTGTACTATTAACCCGAGAAGGCTACCCTGCTAAGCAGGGTGTGTGTGTGTGTGTGTGTGTGTCGGGGGGGGGGGAACCACCTGTGTGCCAAGGTTTTGTCAACCGTTTCAGCTCACAGTCTCAGCCCAAATTGCACAACTGTTACTTTCCAGCCGGGGGACCAGTCGGCGGTCATTCGGACAAGAAAGCCTTTTGTCACCGTATCATCAGCTTGCAGGACTTGCTCAGCATCGTTTCAATTCGTTCCCCAAAGACCGTGCATCTTGGGGAGCCAGTCTAAGGCCTAGAACAGCCTTTGGACAAGCTTTTGGGAGGTCGTTTGCGTTGAATTCGTGCCCCAGAGGCCGCCTGCAAGCCTCCTAATTCGGCTTCGCAACGCGCCTTCGCATCCTATAATTAGGCTTCGCTATGCGTCTTCGCCGCCTAATTCGGCTTCGCAATGCGTCTTCGCCTTCGCAATGCGCCTTCGCCCCCTAATTCGGTTTCGCAACGCGTCTTCGCCTGCCTGTGCGTCTTCGCCTCCCAATGCGTCTTCGCACAATGCGGCTTCGCAAAACGTCTTCGCCTCCTCTTCGGCTTCGCCGACTGGGCCATTTAAGGACTTATTCGGCTTCACACAGCGGCTTTGCCTTCAGGTCGACTCAACCCCTCCCCCCGCCCCAGGCCGCAAGGCATTTGTAAGACTGCAGCACGTGTGCAACCTGACCTTTCAAGACCAGTATCATGCAGCCACGAGATGCAACTTGGCTCTCGCGATGAAATGCAATTTGGCGTTTTCGACGTTTGATCCATCCGATTCTGGGGGCATATGATTTGACATTGCAAGGCACTGGATTGCCATCTACATCCCATTGATTCCCGCTGCTAGCCCTCGACACTGCAGGATTCTGCTGGATGTGGATTGCGCCTTCAAACTCCGCAGGGGCACGGGGAAATCACCACGCTCCATCTCTGCGCTGTAGACACGGAGTGCCATCAAACCTCCAACAGAAGGCAGAATGCGCCGTGATCGTGCGAACGGGGCATGAGCATGACATGTACATGCACTTAGCCTCGTGTCTTCTAAACCGCTCTCAGCCACGAGTGTGCTCGTTGCGGTGGTCTATGGGTGCCCAGTCACATGACATCTCTCAGCATGGCCGCTTCCGACAGACTTCTGGCCTTTCTCTCCCTCAGTGTCCCTCTGTCTTATCTCGGTTGAATTTCGCTTGTGCCTCCCTCAGATTGGCGTAAAGGGCGGCGGCACAGCGGGCAAGTTGAGTTCCTCTCAAGGAATCTGACGCCGTGATATGTTAGGTCAGTGGCTGCGCTCGTGCACAAGACTCGATTTTCAGACCCTGCTCCCTGCGGCACGAGCTTTCTGCAGGCAATCACGATGAAACTGATGACCACAAGCCTGAGCCGAAAGTCATGAGGAACATGAGCACGAGTAGTTGCCTTCTGATGTACAGGAGCTGCGGGCCGTGCCCCAGCACCATTTGCAGCACAGACGCCGTGATGGCATTGCAACCGCTGTTGAAACAGATCGGACAATCCTCGCTCGAACCAGCCTGACATGGCCACCGTTGCAAAATGTTTTGTTCACAGCTTTTCCTTTACCTCTTTCAAGCTGTGTCACAAGCAACTTTATGGGCATGATTGGGCATGTGTCATCTCATGATGAGACCAGAAGCCGCCACCACTTCTTGACGCCGCTTTGTCGCCAGGGCCTGCGCTGCTCCCCTTGCGGGGTTTGCAAGCATCCATTTCACATCCATCTCTGCGTAGGTGCACGCCGAGTCATGGGCAACCTTCGACCTAACGGTGACTTCATGCAACTTTCGGGAGCTAAAGCCGCAAAGGTGTCGGCTGTGTCTATTCAGCACGCCAAGTCGCTCTGGCACTGCGACTACGAAACCAGCAACAATACCCAGCGAGGCACAACATCATCCACTTGCCCCGCTCAAGTCTTGTGCAGAATCAATCGTTCGTTCACGACGTGAACCTGGAAATGTCGCGCCGACGATTCCGCAACTCGAAGGCAGGCAACGTCTGCTGCATCATTGCTTGGAGTACAATACCTTCAAAGGGAGAGCGTTTTGAGAAGTCAACTACACACTTGAAGGATACGAGACCCGGGAGTAACCTAGGAATAAAAAGGGTGCCCTTTCTGGTTTTAAGCCCCAACGCAAAAAAAATGGAAAAAGGGCCTACTCCCGATCCTAGGATAGCCCGCGGCAAGGTGGCAAGTTTTCTACGCACTGTTGCATCATTGCATGACACCGTGACATCTGCGGCCATGGCACAGCACAGCAGCAACATGACCAGAGTCCAGATTCGACAATGCGTAGAGCACGCCTCTCGAGAAACATAGATCCGATACTGTCACTACACTTGTCACTACGTTCTGCTGGAGAAATGCAGCGGGGGTGCACAGGGCTGCGGCTGTAGTGGTTTTGCCGGTGCCGGGGGGCCCGTGGATCAGCGACAAAGCGTCCTTGGCATGAGGCGTTGCTCGGGCACGCGAGCGAGTTGACCAGGTCAATACATGTCATCGGCAACATTGCAGCATCTTTCCGCAGCATCGGCTCCTCCAACGAACCACGAACTGCAGCTTCTTGAGGAGGATTCAAGCGCCAAGGCTTCAGATCCAGGCCTCAGATGCAAGTCAAATGCAAAAAAACTCTACAGGACTGACACTGGACTTACGTTTTAACAGTGAGCCGGTCTTCCGGCTTGAAAGCACGTTCGTGACCATTTCCAGCACAGCTGTGCAGCTGTGAGCTTTGCGAACGCAAGTTGGATCAGCATCCCTCTACTTGAACATACTTGAACCCTCAACTCTAAACCATCTGACATGCAGCTGCCGCCGATAGCAAAGCAATATCTTGATCCTTGACAAGCGGCTCTGGGCGAAAGACTCACGCGCTTCAGGGTGCCACGATGCCTGGAAGGTGGTGAGTTGTAGTGGCATCTGTCCCCATAAGACTGCAAAACCACTACTGAAGATGTCTGAAGAAAATCTTCATCTGCAGTCACACCTATATTCATGTCCTAAAGCTATCACTCTTGGTCACAAGCTCTGGCAGAGCACCCAGTGTTGCATGCCTCGTCCTCAACACATCGTCGCACTGATGCAGCAGGGGCTGGTGGTGCTCGAGCATGAAGGATGACCTGACGTGACGGGCAGCAGGCACGTGGAAGCCATGAAAACAAGGAGTAGGCTTCAACCCGAAACACATCATATTTTCCCCCGATATTCTTTGCATACACATCAAAAAAAAGCTTGGCAAATTGCCAGGGCTTGGCACACTGCCACCGATGCTTCTGCAAGATGTTGCTATGCACAGCTGCAGCAGCTCTTTACGAAGTCGCAGCTTTCGGATGGAGGACTTGCAAGAAATGTGGCACAGCTCTTTTGGGGTTCGTGTTGAACGTATTGTCCCCGCCTCCCTCAACAACGAAGATGCAACACTCAGTTCAGCCAGTGCCACCGCCATACAGCTATATGGCCTTAGGGCGCTGCTCTGTAGAAATTATTTCACTTCGAACACCCCCACCTGAGGGATTTGGATTGGGGTTGGGCATTTCAGGGAGTCTCTGGGGTTGGGCATTCCAGGGAGTCTCTGGGGTTGGGCGGGGTTGGAGACCAGGAGTGTTTGGGTTGGGTACTCTGCTCCACTCCGGACTCCAGGGGCATTGCAGGGAGTCTCTGCATTTCGGCACTCCACAAAACTCTGGGGTTGCTTAGGAGTCTCTGGGCTGAGCACTCCACGCTGACGGACCGAGACAGTCAGTTGTAAACACTCGATCAACTCTCAGGCTACAAGTTAAGGCCTAAACCCTCGTATTTTCGGGAATTTGACTTCCTGGAACGCGTTTTCCAGTGAGGAAAAGTTGATTTTGATGGTTTTGGGGCCGCAATTCGATGTTCACGGACCGAGAGACTCACAGAGTCAGCGGTTTCATAAATTAAGGGCAAAAAGCCCTCGACTTGATCAACCCTCAAGCTAAAAGTTGACCCGTAAACCCTCGTATTTTCGGGAATTTGACTTCCTGGAGGCTGAAAACAGCTCAACATCGCATTTTCCAGGCAGGAAAAGTTGGCATTGCTGGTTTTTGGGCCGCAATTCGGTGTTCACGGACCAAGACACTCAGAGAGTCAGCTGTGCATAAATGTTGATGATTTTTGTGCCGCAATTCGGTGTTCACGGACCAAGAGACTCAGAGAGTCAGCTGGTAAAAAACCCTCGATCAACCCTCAAGCTAGAAGTAGCCCTAAACCCTCGAATCTTCGGGAATTTGACTTCCTGAAGGCTGAAAACAGCTCAAAAACGCATTTTCCAGGAGGGAAAAGTTGATTTTGATGGTTTTTGGGCCGCCATCCGGTGTTCACGATCCCAGAGACTCACAGACTCAAGCTACAAGTTTTAAGGCCGACTCTGGGCTTGGGCATTCAGGAGAGTCTGGGTTGGGGCACTCTGGGGTTGGGCGTTTCAGAATCTGGAGTTGAGCCTTCCAGGAGTCTCTGGGTTGGGCACTCTGCCCAGGGTTGGGCACTGCAGGAAGACTCTGGGTTGGGCACTCTGAAGTTGGGCGCTCAGAAAGACTCTGAGGTTGGGCACTCCAGGAGTTTCTGGGTTGGGCTCCAGGCCATCCCGGATCTTCCGAGCACTCCAGGGAGTCTCTGCGGTTTGGAGACTGGGGCTGGGCACTCCAGGGAGTCTGGGAGGGTTGGTCACTCCAGGGAGATTCTGGGGCACTTTAGGAGACTTTGGGGTTGTTGGCACTCCAGGGAGACTCTGGGGTTGGGCATCCAGGGAGACTCTGGGTTGGGCACTCAGGGTGGGCACTCGACTCTTCACTAGGGAGACTCTGGGGTTGGGCAATCCATGGAGACTCTGGGCTTGGGCACTCCGGAGAGAGTGTCTGCTTGGGCAATTCAGGGAGTTTCGAGTCTCTGCAATTGGGCAGTCCACGGAGTCTCCAGGAGTAGACCGGGGGAGAAGAGTTCCGGGAGAAGAGTTGAGTTTAAAGTCTAACAACCCGTGCCTCAAATGATTGGCCTTCATGTCGCGGCTTAATGATTGATGCTGGCGACAGTGCTAACCTCTACGTCTCGTGAAAACATGTGGTTGCGACAAACCTCGCACAAAATGTGAATGGAATGTAGCAAGAAGGCGACAAGCTCAAGATTCACGAGGCATAGCAAAGCCAAGGTTCAGCGACTTCGGAATGAACTCGACAATGTAGCCAGCTCTCCTCGTAAACAATTGTACGTATCCTACAGGTTCACACAGATTGCTGCTGTACAACTAGCATAGTGTTCAATCCTTGTTCCTGTTTCAATCGCCTGCCTGTACATCCCGGATTGGCAATCGGTACGGAAACCCCAACATGAAACATACAGCTACCGGCACCCCTTACATACGGCCACCACCCCTGGCATCACTGGCAAGATCCTGGTGCCGATTGTCCCGGATGGGTCTGAAGCACCAGGAACCATCCGAAAGCTCACGCCTCACAATACTTAGCGCGCGCATGAATCCCAGCTGCAGTACTAGATATCGGACAGCGTATGTAGGCTGCAGGCTACACTGTCTGCTTTCATCCACTACTCCTGTAGCATCTACAGGGTTGGTCAGCAGGCTAAAGGCACGGATCACATGTAGGGCACCATGCGTAACATGAAAGATCCTGAAAGTAGACCGATCTGCAGTAGTCAGTCAGACTGTAGCCACGAGGCGCAGGGACATCGTCTGTGGGATCTGCGCATCCTCCCAAACAACAGAATCCCACAGAGTCTTGAAAGGCAACCAAACCACTCGTCAGCGGAAGCATGGAAGTCAAACTCTGTCTTGGGGCCCTGGACTTCAAGCAAACCCTACTGATTGCGAAATTTTCTCCACCCAGCAACTACTGAAGCCAAGCAGAATACTTCGGCCAAGCGTTTTATTACATAAGAGAAATGTGAGGGGCCCATGCATAAAAGCAGTAACCGACCAGCAGAAAGCAGGAGACTAGGTAGCGCAAGCTGACAGACGAAGTGAACACCGTGGCAGTACAACATCAAAAATCTGAAACAAAGTAGGAACCGTTACCATACCTCATACCTGTATCCATCCTGTATCCCCCTATTAAACCCTAAATCCTAAACCCAAACCAAGTCGAGGCCTCCCTGTGCCTAGGCATTCGAAAGGGGGAGCTCTGTGAGCCTGTGCTTTGAGCAGTTTTCCGAAAGGGTGGCAAGCTAACACCTTCAATCTAGAAACGTCCTCTTCGCCAACGACGACAGCCAAAGGTTGTGCGTTGCCGTCGCCACCAACCAGCTCTACGTCGACGATTCCTTCTCGAAAAATGCAAAACCAGCCAGTGTTTCCACATCGAGCCATCAAGCTTTGCTGAACACAAAGGGTACGATTCAATCATTGGAGGAGATTAGTTATGTTTACAATTGTCCAGCGCACAAGGCCTCCTGAAAAATCATACCTCACATGTGCCAGAGCCTGCATGACCACGCCACCCGACGCCGCGAGCGCTGTGCTGAGTGGGAAGGCGCAAGCACAGCCACCCAGAACTTACTTCGGTCGCCCCATCCTCTCCTGCGTCAGCGCTTGTTCTGCTTTTTTTTTCGCTGCTTGACAAACAAACTTTGGGAGCCCCTGGTCTGATTGGTCATTGCTGATTGCCTCTGATGCTTGAATATATCTGCAATGCCCCTGCACTTCCCAAACTGACAGGCGCCTCGAACCAAGCCACGCATCTTCATGCGATGCGCCGATGCCAGGGTGCTAGGCACCACAAAGGAGCCCCTTCCCTTCGCACCTCAGATGGCATTGCCACTTTGTCAAGTCAATGTACTGCCGACAGCGTGGCAGGAATGAGGGCCTATGCACTGCAAGACATGTCAGAAGCTTACACCACTTCATGTCATTCTTTTTGGCAGCTTGTTGAGGCCCTAGCCCCATGTTATCTCGACGTTGGTCAACACCCTGGTGTCATCTTCGTCCGCCGCACTTGCTGCGGCCTGACAAAAGCATGCAAAAACTGGGGCCCGCTCTCCCTTGTGGCCCTGAAGTTGCGCATGCTCTTCCATCGAAGCATGTCAAAACTACAGCCTCTAGCTCTACAGCGGGCCGCCAGCTGGCCATGTAATCCGCAGTGCTGCTCCAGTTCACCACCTGGTGCCGCAACCGTCCAAGATGGAAACTGTGGACATGCAGGCATATCTTCGCATTTTTCTGTTCTTCACGCAGTGGTCGCTGCAACATGAAAGTTATCTGGAAACTGAAAGACTAAAACCATTGCCCTTTTCAACATGCCAAAGCAAAGAAGATGCTTCAGTTCGGGGCTAGCTCACAACCACATGCGTCATCTCATGGGAACATCAATCTCAATACCGGGCGTTGGCGCTTGCCTCGCTGGCAGCAGGCATTGGGTCCGAAGCGGCAAGCAAAGCCTCAGCGCACATGGAAGTTTGCAAGTCCTCATAAGTCCTCCACATAAACAAACCACAGCCGCTTGCCTCTGGACAAAAGCAATGGAGTCCCACTTCCGGCCGACGGTGTTCCAAGCCTTTGCGGAGGGTTTGAGCTCTTGTTTGGCTCGTGCTGAAGGACCAGCCAGCACAACACTCATTGTCTCCAAGTGTGTCACTGCCATTGTGATGAAGAACGCCAATATGACATGTTTCTTTTTCAACCCGATGCGATATGTGAGACATGTTCGGAGCGTTGGATGCAACCCGCGAGCTAGCGATTTCGGGTTGGCTGTCGTCAGCTCCGCAATCACCTTGGATGTCACCGAGTCGGCGTGCCCGGCCTTGCCTGCCATGACCTTCTGCTTATCCTTCTGGGTTGCTGGAACCAGGGCATCCACACAGAACTTCCAGGACTCGTCAAAGAGGCGAACCACGCATTCATTAAACTATGGTAAACCCAACTGACCAAGTGAGTGTGCCATGGTCCACGGGCGCGGCAGCCTTGCGCAGACATATGTTTTGTTTCACATCTGGGATCACCGGGGCTTTCCATGGCTGACGTCGGTATTCTCGTTCTCAAGCCGATCGAGGCGCTGGCGACTTCTGCACATGAAATATGATGAGGTTTGTGCTCACATGGCACTCGGTCATGTCCTTGCTTTGGCCACACAGCGCTTCTTTTGCTTGGTCTTGACGAAATCTCCGCTGAAGTTCGGCCGCGTGAGCGAGGCGATTGGGGAAGGCGTGGCAAAGAGCCGTCTGAGATCGTCTGAGCACAGCACGGACATTCTGACGTTGTCGCGTTGCAAAGTGATTGATCCACATTCTTGTCGGCCGGATCTGTTTCTCCTTTGGTCGGGTCTTGGCGACCTGCCTGTATCTGCTTGTCTAGTCATGCCCTAAACTCCGCGCCCAACATACCGTGGCACTGCAACACCTTCTGCTTAATTAGGGGAGAAGAGGCTTCCATGCAATGGGCTTAGATGCACAGCAACGCTCGGAAACAATCCAGGTCAAGAGTGCTTTATTTTTATTTGGTGACGTTTTGCGTGGCTACGCACGGCTACTTGCTGTGGAGGATGGGAGCGTTTTTGCTCGTTGTGGAGGCTGCAAACGTTCTCTTGGCGGTGAAGGAACGGGAACGTGTCTTCGTGGAGGCCGCGCGGGGCGCGCTCATGTTTCACTGTGGGGTGCGGTTGCTCTGGCTCTAGGGTCGGGTGATTTTATCCGGTTGTAGGGGCTGGGCACGCTTCTGCAGTGGGGGACAGGACATTGTCGGGCGTTTTTGTCTTTTCAAGGGTTTCTATGGATTGAAATATGCTTTGATACACACAAAAAATACACAAACAGCATGCTCGCATCATGGACTTGACAAGGATGCATATTCTGGTTTTGGAGCAACTCGTTTTGATGGCGACGGGCTTGGAAGGGATTCAAACGATTGATGAAACAATTTGCGTTGATGGCATGATGTTCTGCGAAACAGACCTTGCAAAACCTAAAAAAGGCGGGGGACAGGGGGGCGGGCGGGGTGGCAGGGGGTTTTACAGTACGTATCTTTCGCGGCCATTCCAAAAGCTTTCGCATGAAGGTTACTGCCACAAACCAAAAGAACAACAATAAGTTTCGCAACTCTCCGAGAAATGGCCAGGAGCTCCTAAGGTCCTGGACTTGCGGAGGTGCTTTGTTGGTTCTGTGCGGCACTTGGCACAAGCTACCGGGACAGCATTGCGCCCTGGATTCGATTGCGTTGCCTTCACTCTTTTCCTAGTGGTTTCTTTTGCGTCTCCTGCCATGCATTGATTATGTTGATGATACCTGCGATAGAAACTATAAGTGCAGGTGTTGACGTGCATCTTTGTATCGTTATGTTGTATATGATCGTTCCATGGCCATGGCTTCAAGTGAACTCACTCAACTTGCTGCTCTGGCAGATGAAGCGAATCTGAAAAAAGGTCCTCATGTACAAGACGCGCCCCGAGGCAGTACATGAATGTGGCCATATGTGGCCTCTGTCCAGCTGCGGAAGCATGCTGAAGCAACATCTGAGCAATCCGCACAAGCAAAGTTGGTCGGCGAACACGAGTGCCCGAACCTCCTGCTCATCAACCTCACATTGCAAGGAGTGCTGGGCACTCTGAGCATTCTGAAAACAGAGAGCACGAATACGGTGCAGCCAGCCTTGCCGTCTCGTTGGCAAGGTCCCACTTGAACGTGAAGTGAGAGGTTTCGCTCCAAGCACATCTCCACTGTCAGAAGTCCTGGTAAACATGAGTGTGGCAGGCAAGAAGCGGCCAGGAGAATTAAGGGCGAGAATTGAGCGAGGGCGAGTTGAGCGCAAGTACTTGGAGCAACTTTCCTGAAAGCAATCTGATCCGCTCCCAGTTGCCAGCCCCGTCCGTCAAGCGCCTGAGTACCCATGAAACGCAACATGGCATATAGAGGCCACTGCAGTATCAGTTGCAACTCAGCTGGAAACAGCAGATTCTTGTTGCCCGCATGGAAGTCAGTGGGCTTTGAACCTTTGCTGGCTGACGTGACGCACCACAGGAGTGGGTTCGGTGATGCCGACACTGACGCGAAATGACGCGAACATATTTGTCAGGGCTTGTCCCTAAGCCCAGTCATCCAGTCTAGAACGGAAACTCGGCATAGCAACTCCAGTGGGGGTAAGGGGCAGCATGTGTGGAAGAATATCGTGCTGGACCTTCCTTGAATTGGGATCGAAGGAGGCACTCTGGTGAGATTTCATGTCTGCTGCACACAGCCAGACAAGGCACTCTAGCGAGGTTGCAAGCAAGACGGAATATGCGGAGGCGCATGGGGGGGCTGTTGGCAAGCAATGCGCTACTGAAAGCGCAACGTCCTCCCCACGTGGCCCTTGCACACAGGTTGCTCACGGGCAATAAGATGTCTAACTGCGGGTGTCGATGTACACAATCTGATATTTAGTCTCACAAATGGGACACGGACTGCTTACCCGCGCTGAGATGGGATCTGAGGGGGGAGGAACGAGAATGCAAAGGAAGGGGCAAACAGGATAAGCCTTATCCATGTTGCTCTCTTTTGCATTCTCTTTCCTCCCTCCCACGCATCCCCATCTGCGACCTTCCACGCAACACATCAGAGAAATAATCTTCTCAGAGCCTCCCCACCAGCTCTCTTCTACTGATTGCTACCTGCGGCCCACGACGTGCGAAGCCACTCTTACCAAGGCTCTGGGCAGGCTCCGGAAGCTCGCGCGATGCTCGAAGTCTACATTTACGTTTTGATCTTGCGCTGTTGCTACATCGATTAACCCCCCTGATGGGGGTTCGTTCTCCTGTAACTCAAAGACGAATGGTGAAAGACGATGAAGGAATGGTAAACGAACGATAGCGAATGAAACGACAAGACAAGACTGACAAGACATGACAGCATTGACAGCTTTGGCAGCATTGACCGAGCGGACAGTGATGGCTTCAACTTCAGGGCCACACGTAAGTCAACAACATGGAAGCGCCAGCGAACAATGGTATCACGACCTGCGAGGGAAGCTCGCAACTCTCTCACTTTCGGCTTCATCAACTTGTACCCAAGTCCTCGTGATACTGTTGCCTAGCTGAGTACCCGATGGCCTCTTGATTCCAAGAGTCAGCAATCCTGAAACCACTGCACTTCCTGCGATGCGAGACTCAGAAGGACTTGATCTGTCGCGTCTGTCGCTGCCTTCACCCCATGATGGAGGACCAGCCGGATGTAGCAAGGACCATGGCAGAAGTTCCACCTCGCGGAGATTCACCGAGGTTTAGGAGACAACTGGCTCAGGCACATTGCTCAGCAACGTATCGATTTGACATGAAGATAGCCGGGATCTGATCGTGTTCCAACTATACATTGATCGACAATGATCGGTGGAATTTGCCCGGCTAAGCACTGCAAGAGCATCAGAAAGAGAACCCGTGCCGCATCTAGGAATCGCCCAACCTTGTCCCAGCAACCGTTTGCAGATACGCCTGGCATGTTGCCACATGCTCTCGTGGTGCTGCTTGTGAGTAGAGGTCCAACCCACAGCCGCGCTTTGTGAAGTCCAAAGTGCAAGTTAACTGCCTGCTTCAAAGGCCTCTCCAAAGCTGGCCAGCGCATTCAAAGGTGAGAGGCCTAGTGCGAGACCTGGCCAGGTCTTGCTTAGTTGTTCCATGTTGTTCCTCTGTCCGAAACGAAGATGATGACAAAACGCAGGCTTCCGAAAGAAAGAGACACTCGAGAAAGCTTGCGAATGCTTCGCGGATGCTTTAACGAATTTACGGTCACCTCTCCAACCCCAGACGCAACTCTGTGAACGGGAAGCCTTCTGCTACCCAGTCGGAAAAAACGAAAAGACAAGCCCCTAAACTGCAAACCCTGTAAGTTATAACTTTCACCCTCAAACTAACTTTGGAACCTGCAAACCTAAACTCTAAACCGAAAGTTTCTCTAAAACTGCCTTCACTGTAGTCCGAAACTCCACGTCCTGCCACCTTGACAGTCCGGCCCCAAATTCTGACACTAACATTGACAATGCGGCCTGAAACGTACAACGCTCCAAGTTAGAGCGCAGATTCAGGTCTCTGTCAAATTGAGCAAAAACCCCTTCCCCCACTGCCACGATGCTTCAAGTGAACGGCTGGTAGACTAACTGCCTTCACCAGACACATCCTTGATGGCTGCCAGCAGATCACCTCCTGCGGGCACAACAAGCTAGGTCGTAATTGTCCGCAATGAAAATTGAGGAGAACTCGTCGACCCATTACGACATGATGATGGTGTGGCTATCTGTTGCTGACTCACGCCACCCATCAGTTTAAATTCCTGCAGCCATGGCTGCCAGACAACTTCCTTTCTCCTTGATTTGAGTTCCGCCGCGACTCGCTTTTGGGTTTGACCGGGTCTCAGCCTCTTCGTGGCCTATGGCTAGAGGGGCGTTTACGAACAATCGAAACAGTTTCAAACCTCAAACCCGAAATATGGCCACGAGGCTCCTACAGAATGCTGCAACATGCTATATAGGGACGAGCGTCCAGCTCGTGAACCAAACAATGAATAAAAGCTCGCTGCGGGGCACCAAGAACAGCGTCAACGAAACGGCTGTGCTGCCGCACGTTCACATGTGCTTGTCATACTCACAGGAAAAATTGCTGCCTTGTCACGGCGTCCCAAATTGATGTATTGAAAACTGTGGATAGAAGATAAAATAGCGCATGGGAACGTCATTTTAAGCTTCCCGCAAGCCCGTGCTGCGAAAATTTAATCAAAGCAGCTTTTTTGTAGATTGCAGACACCAAAAACGTATCCGTTGTAAGGGAAAACGTTTCGTGCGCATATAAGCCGTATTGCGAGAGATCCTCGTATGCCCACATTCGATAAAATGGGGCTGCCTCATTCGTTGCGAGATGTACACAAGCAAGATCTCTAGTTGCAATTGCAACGGCAACATCATGTCCTTAACCCTGAGCCCTGTAGCCATGTTGCACAATGTTGGCACATTCAATCGGCATTGCGGACTACATCAGTTGGTTCAGTTGATCACGACAGCCTCACCACACGCAATGCAGGCTTTCGCAAGTGGGTCAGGGCCAGCTCTACTTACCTGCGACAACCCCACTATGCCATTATGCCTTAGCAGATCAGTAGGCAGATTGCGTTTACGGTAAGCAGTTCTCCATGAAACCAATTTGAAACCCCAGCCTGGAACACGAACCGGCATGGCGGGCTTTGGCCGCCGATCCAACACGGGCAGGCCTCTGCGAGACGTGCGCCGCACGCAAAATGCGCCGCGGTTACTGACTTTTTGAGATGTGCCTTCTACACTGATGTCAGCAGCTGGCGCTCGAAAGCGGCAAGACAACCTTAAATCAGCAGGGCGGCAAGGCGACACACAGTTTTCATCAGCATCCGCATCAAAGCCAACACGCCTCTCATACAGAACTTGCTGCAGGTTGGATTTGGCGAACAGCAAGCCGAGCAGCAAGTAAGGCAGATTGTACCATGGAAGTCCACGATCTTCAACCTCAACCTCCGCCATGTCCTGCACCCGACAGAGCCACCATCCAACCAAGACAAGTAACGATCACGAAGCCGGTCTGTGCCTCGCTCTACTTTGTTTTGCTAGGCCACGATTCTGCTCGAAGCCTGCTGGCCTCCCAATCCTCGACGACTTGCGGCTCTGAGTCTTCGCCCACGTGGGCCAAAAACTCCTAGCACGGAGATTCTGGTCTGAAAACAAAGAGAATGAAAACCCCAACGCTGCGCAAGCACTTGGTGCAAAACTGCAACACTACGCAAGCAAGCAGCGCCCAAACGCGTTTGCCTGATCGAGCGTTTTGCGCTGGAACACACAACTGAACGAAGCACAAGGGGTATTCCAAACTCGGCCCTGAAAAACAGAGGCGAGCGCAGCGCCAGAGGTGAAAAGGACCCTGCTCTTCTTCGCCACGCCGTCATCGTGGCCTGAACTTTGGCCTGAGTTTCGTGGCCTCCACTGGACCTTTGGTTGGCAGCTCAGCTGCGCTGCTTATCACACCGGATGCTCTTGCTGAGCAGGCCTGCGCACATCGTCTGCAGTTCAGGCGCCAGCGCATCCCACGAGGTGTACCGGCCATGGGCCTCTGCTGAGCTTGCTCGCATCGAAGGGCAGGGAAGCCTTCCCCGTTTTCGTTTCCACATGAAATAGCGCTGGCCGTCCGCTATGTGGTCCTTGACGATCTCTGGGGCGTCCTCCGAGAGGAAGTGCACTGAGAATTCCAAGTACTGAGCACCGCCAAAGGTGCTTCTTCTCAGCGCAGTGGCCTCAGCGGTCGCTCTCAGGACACGCTCACGCTCCAATGGCGCCCAGCTGCTCTTCCAGGCGTGCCTCTCTCACTCTGCTCTCCGTGAGCTCGGCGTACGCACCCCGCTGCCACGCCATGAGCTCGTGCACACTAACTCCTTCACCGGCACCTGTCCTTCCAGCACCACGGTCGGCATATGCAGTGGCACGACGAGCTGCAAGCCGTGCAGCATGGGCGTCTGGCCTAGCTAGCTGGCGAGCCGACCGGAGCAGCGGTTCTACTAGCAGGCGGACTAGTGGCCCGGCAGCCGGCTCTTCTGCTTGCTGGTAGCGCTGTCTGGCGGCGATTGCAAGCTCTCAGGCACACTTCGTCTGCTGACATCCTTTTCTGTGGACTCGTCCTGCTTCTGCGGGCTTCTGCCTTTGAGCTGCCCACAGCTTCTGCTCAGTCAGTTGATGAGGTGTGTGTTAGGTCGATGCCACGATGGACCCTGCAAGTGTCACTGTGGCACTTGAGGGGATTTTGTTGCATGGAGTTGCAGAATTCGCAGCGGGCTGAACCACCCAGAGTGTCACAGAATATGCGGAAACTGGTTTGTGTAGCCCAAGGCAGATGTTTGCCATGAGACTGACAATGGCAACTGCAAGCAACAGCAAGCAAAGCGAGCGCAAGCAAGTGCAGGCAGCCACTGACCAGAGACAGCCCACGCATCGACGCATCTCCATGCTTCCCGTCTATCAATTTCCAACCCAGAGTCGAACCACAAGCAAGCTCGTCCTCGACGTAAGCCAGAGCACTCGGAGCCTTGGTGCATCTTGGCGCAGTCGGTTGGAATGTCTCGCGAAGGTGTTCTGAGAACGTGTGGCTCAAGAATTTGGTGTGAACGTGTCGGGGACATCCAGGATGTCGGGCCTTAAGATGATTCACCAGTCCCAGACGTCGCACAATTCTGGCATTGCGAATTGCACAAAACTGCGTGTTTTCTGGGCCGTCGGATTTTCATACCTGCAGTGTTTGAAATGCGTGGGCTTTGTAGGCCTTCTACACTGCAGCCATAGACTGCAGAGCTTTTGCTACATTTTGCTACTGTGCAGTCTCCGCCCGGCTCCGTCGGTATTATGAACAAATTGCTTCACTACACCATATACTCAGACCACTACACAGCATACACAGCCATCATCGTGACAAGCGGCTCCAGTGAGCCACGACCGAGGCTCGATGACCTGCATGGACTCCACTCTATTCCACTCTAACTTCGGATTTGTCAGCATCAAGTGGCGAGATATATACTCAGACCAACGAGGCAACATCGCACCATCCAACACCCGCCGCCATGGCGTCGTTTCACGATCCTACCAGACCCCACGGAGAGATCCCACCCTGCTTTGCCAGACCTTCACGCAACAGAGCCGGATGAAAACCTACACCTGCGATTTACACTCCAAAAATGTATTCGGGACTGGGCAGCACGATTGCGCGGCTTAGCACATGCGACACGACAAACACACTGACTTTGAGCGCAAAGTACGACCATTCACCGCTTTCTGGACCAGTTCTGGACCCAATCAAGGCGCCTGCAGTTCTTCTGGCGGAGCCGAAAGTACCTCTATTGCAGACCTCGGCTCTTCTCTGTCTGTCGAAAACGTTGCCACTCAAAAATTGCCTCAAAAACCGCTACGAAGTCCAGTGGCGGGTTTGACATCGTACCGTGGTCAAGCGCAAGAAGGGGACTGGAAGCGGGAGCTTTCCGGAGGCTCACTCATTGGGACCTTGAGGGAATGTCAAGAGGTCCGGCCGATTCTATCCGTAAGCTCTTGCTCGGCAATTCGGTGGTGAGCGAAAGGCTGCTGAAGTGCGCATGTCAGCATTGATCTGAAACTGGAACAAGCATGCCATCCACTTCAACTACAACATCGTCAGCTCTTGTCCATCAACATTTCGGAACTCGACAAGCACCTAGCGGTGTCCTGCTGCAACAGAAATGCTGCTGCACTGTACTAGTTACTGGTTCCAAGAACAACTAGACATGTTAAACTCCCCTCTTCAGAAGCAATTCAACCAGATCGTTCCTGTTCAATTCGCTTCCGAGTTAAGTGTCAAGCTGCGTGAGCTTGGTTATCTCTACACTCTACAAGAACTCGGCATGTTCGGAACACGTTTGTCGGGTCCCAGGACAGATCCCCGAGTATCAGAGCATATCAGCGCACATCATCCTGACTTAAGGTCCCAAACACGAGTGAACAAGAACTTGAAGCATTCATGTGTTTAAATGACACGATATGCCAGCACCAACAACCAACGAGAAACCAACACCAACAAAGCCCCCTTCTATCTGGGCCCTCCGCAGGGCTTCCCTAAAGTAGCCTCGAACATCAACAATTTAGGCCAAGCCTCGAGGCGGCGGGTCCAACAGGTGACGGTTGCTCAGAGGATTCCGCAATCCTTGGCTACAGATGGCTGCCAGCTTCGGGTTTCGAGAGACCAGCACCAACAACCAACGAGAAACCAACACCAACAAAGCCCCCTTCTATCTGGGCCCTCCGCAGGGCTTCCCTAAAGTAGCCTCGAACATCAACAATTTAGGCCAAGCCTCGAGGCGGCGGGTCCAACAGGTGACGGTTGCTCAGAGGATTCCGCAATCCTTGGCTACAGATGGCTGCCAGCTTCGGGTTTCGAGAGACCAGCATCAACAACCAACGAGAAACCAACACCAACAAAGCCCCCTTCTATCTGGGCCCTCCGCAGGGCTTCCCTAAAGTAGCC